TGTGTGTGTGTGTGTGTGTCTGTGTGTGTGTGTGTGTGTGTGTGTGTGTGAGAGAGAGAGAGAGAGAGAGAGAGAGAGAGAGAGAGAGAGAGAGAGAGAGAGAGAGAGAGAGAGAGAGAGAGCTGCTTGTCCTGGCGCCAACTCACTGTCGGACTTACATTCACCAGGAGATCATCCATGGTCGAGGTAGTGTGCTGCCTCTGCTCGGTAGCAGCGGCAGGAGTGACACATCGTTACGTCCGTGTAGGAGCATGTGACAAATGTACTTGGTCCTTGGGATCATTGACACGTAAAAAAAGGGGGAAAAAAAAAATAAAAAAATGCTTTCTTCACATTGACTTTTTTTTTTTTTTTTTTTTAACTTGCACATGGGGCATGCTAATCATCTCTGTATCTGTCAAAAGCAACAAAAAAAGGAAAACCTTCACTGTATCGTTCCAATTCCCTAAGGCTTAGGAGACATTGGGTCTCGCTCCACTACTGTCTGCTGTACACAATTTCGTATAGCGGCCGTATAGCTGTCAGACAAAAAAAAAACGTATAAAACCAGGCGTCGCTCCACTTACTATCTGCTGTACAAGTCTCAAATTCCTGAGTTCACTACAAAACACCCTTACAGCACTATAAGACAGCAATTTGTCGGCCCACACTCCAGGCGGACTATCCGATTTCGCGTTCGAACGGCGGCCTCCTTCGACCACCCTCCGAATAACAACTTTTGCAGGCTGGGAACTATACGGGATCGGATGGTGAATCTGGAGGGCGCCATCTGACAACTATACGGTGGTTTCCGAAGGTACGTTTCGGATAGTAAGTGGAGCGGTGTCCCACCATACGAAATCGTACAGCAGATAGTAGTGGAGCGAGACCCATTGACTTTATTTTCGACCCGTTCTCTTCTATCCCTTCGAAGTTCGAATCCTCCAGATCTCCCGTCCAAAATCCAAAACAGATCCTGGGGCCAAATCCCACTAGCACCGTTGAGCTACCTCAACGCCTGAATCTGGACGCTTTTGCGGAGATGTGCAGAAATGGTGTTGAGTTTCCTGAACTGCACGTCTCCAGAACCACGTCCACATTCAGGCGTTGAGGTAGCTCCACGCTGCTAGTGGGACTTGGCCCCCGCCGCTCTCTTCCTAATCACCGATTCACCTGGAATTATCCTCTTTCGTTTTTTGTTTCTTTTCAATTGGAATTCACCTCTTTGTTGGCATTGGAGTCACAGCGGCCCAGCGGGCAATCTTGGCCGTTGAGTTACGTTAGGGCCTCGTTAGACACTCCTCGGGGACGCGATTCCAAGGATTCCGTCGTCGTTCCACCTGTCCTCGGAGATGAAATCGGAAATGACAATGTGAAAACACTCCGAGGACAAATCCTCGGGCTCCGAGGATTTCCCAGCCAAATCGTCCTCGAACTCGAAGGACCTCGCGAGGTCCTTTGGAGCCCGAGGATCCGTGCTTCACGGAGAGGAGAGGGCATGCACGTAGAGAGACGTTATAACCGAGAATCCTGATCGTGGCGGCACCCTATTGGCTGCAAGCCTGAAGCACAACTTTTTTTCTTTTTTTTTTCCTTTTATTTTTCTGACATTCAACGAGGATGAGTCCTAAAACAGATGCTCCGAGGATGAGTGGAACGAAGACAACAAAAACCCTAAACTTTTCCGAGGATTCATCCTCGGAGCCCGAGGATGCCCCGATGAGTGGAACGAAGACAACAAAAACCCTAAACTTTTCCGAGGATTCATCCTCGGAGCCCGAGGATGCCCCGAGGAGTGTCGAACGACGCCCTTATGGGACGTGCACACTGGGTGACAAAGGTCCAGAGTCGAGGCAAGCACGTGCAGAGAGGTATACAACTATGAAACCGTATGAGCGCGCCTAAGCACGAGAGCGCGCTTTATCCCCCTCCCCCGCGCTCAAAGCGCTCAAAGCGCTCAAAAAAAAAAAAAAAAAAAAAAAAAAAAAAAAAAAAAAA